TTGACATCATCTATTTTATTGAAAACTGGTAGGTGGATTTGGTAAAGTTTTTGTAGGCTGATTTAAAAATGCCTTCATTTAATACTAATGACCATACTGGTTTATTTTCAGCTAACCTCGAAACAGAGCTGACTGGCAGAGTGACTAACTACAGTGCACGAAAGACAATGGCTACCATGAAAGATGACTACTAACTGGCAGAGTGACTAACTACAGTGCATGTTAGACAATGGCTACCATTAAGGATGACTACTAACTGGCAGAGTGACTAACTACAGTGCATGTTAGACAATGGCTACCATTAAGGATGACTACTGACTGGGAGAGTGACTAACTACAGTGCATGTTAGATGGATTACTACTAATACCTGACAAAATACATGCATACAGTGGCAATATTTACCATGTTTAAGTGTTGGACAAATGGATGGAATGAAATAACACAGCAAGGAGTTTATTACATATAGATGTATTGAAAAAATGTGCATATGTTGGGAAGTATTTTTAAAGGTGTTGTTATACTTTATTGTTCAACAACAATTATCGAGTTGCAGCTCAAGGCGTAAACTTAAGTACTACTGTGGCCCGAGGTGTGGCAAAGTTAAGACATCATAATGAAGAATATCTGAAGCTTAGAACTATTTGGGTCAAGGTTGAACCCATATTGATATTAAAAGATTTGGAGAACAGGGATGTCATCAAAATGCCTTAAGTTGTTCTATAATAAAGTTATTCAAGTTGGGTTGTGGTTGGGGGTTGAATACTAATTTCCTTAGTGATGAAATGTTGATTATTTATTTAAAATTCAACTAAAAGGCAAATCAACATTTAAAAATTTTATTATATGGGGATAACCATTATCTTTACACAAGTGTGTAGAGTTGGAGATCATTCCTCAAAGGTTACCTACATTTGAGCCAGGCCACAGGAAAAGGGGTCTTATCACAGATTTTTCAATGTTTTGGATTTTTGTTTTTTATTAAAAAGCACAAAGAGACCTTTCAAATGAGCCATGGCTTGTGTCTTAACAATTTTTCCTTGCAGTTATAGACCAAAAAGATGGATTTGAATGTAGCACATTTTCCTCTTAATCTTGGGCACAATTTAAATTTTTGTGATAGGACCGGTTTTCCTATGGCGAGGCTCATTTATAAATGCAGTAGTCTTGCATCTTTAAGACATGGTAGATAGTAGAAACCCTTCCCTCACATTCCTGTGAGGGAGGTAGGGGGAGTATAGGGCCTTGCTGCAAGATTACTATGACAATATTAGATTCATATACTTTTAGTTTTTATACTATTTTGGTTATTTTACATGATACATTTCCACTTATTGTATATAAATGTTATTTCAATTAAATAATTGAATTATGTATCTAAAGATATAGAGGTTCTTATATGAGTACCTGTGCAAGATTGTCCATTCTTGATGAGCTTTTATCAAAGAAACATTATCAAAGCGAGTCAAGAATGGACGATATTGCACAGGTACGAGTACAAGAAAGTTTTTCTCATATGACTCTGTATTATGCTATATTTTCACCATTTAATCATTAAACTGAGTGAAAAATAGCTACAAATTAATTGAACTTCATCTTTCAATTGTTATGACGTCATAACAATATTGAAGAAAATACATAGATACACGTGGCAACAAAGCTCCATTGTAATGATGTCACAGCTAAGTTTTGTAGAATTAGCATGGATACTCATAGCAACGGTGTGTCGTTGCCATGTTGTTGATGTTTATAGACCAGTGATGTCACAATTAAATCTCATCTTTTTAGAATGAAAGATGGCAACATCTTGCATGGGGTAAAGATGGCTCTATCTTTATTAGTCAGATGAGAAAATGTCTTTTGTACATACTTTTGTCTTGTGCAATAGCACCATTGATGTGTTCAACTCAAAACAGTTAGTAGGCTGTGCTAGGTACATACTTATTTGTACATTATTTACATGTGTGCGCATGCACAACATTTTTAGTTTTAGTCCAGGTGACTGTTTAGTATATCGACTGTTACTATACTTGAACAGCGTAGTATGTTTTATGTTACGGTTATGTCAATAATTGTTATTTGCGGAACTCCCATGGTGAAATATTGAAGAACATGTTCAAAATTATATGACTGTACAAGGAAGAATGTAATCAGATCAAAATATTTCAATTTTTTGATGAATACAAGACAGTGAATATGAATACAAGAAAAGGCCAATGTAAACTAGTGAAATTATATCATCTATTAAGACCTTCAGGGCTTTCCACAATTTACTTAAAATAATGAGAATAGAAAAAGTTGAGAAGATTCAGTGGCACAATCAATGGCTACTCAGTGCTACAAAGCTGGAGAGATCATTAAATAACAATTCTACTTTTCTACTCATTGACAGGTTGTTAAAAGTCCAAAGGCATCTAAAAGATGACCACTATTATGATACTGACATATAATCATATTGTGTACAGTGTACATATATAAAACATGTCCTTCACAACTTGGAATCATTATTTTCAAATCAACATCAGTATCAGATTGCTAACTACTCAAACCTTACCTCTTCAGTGAATGTGTAAATGTTATTTTCGAATGTATAGTTGTAGAAATATTTGTACATTATATTTATTTTATGTACTGTACATCATTCATAAAAGCTGGAGCCAAACATGTACATGTATTCGTCATAAATGCACCGACATGTTCAAAACCAGAAAAAACTTGTAGTTTAATTTTATTGAATAAAATGTTGTAATGCAAATATAAAATAATGGCCATGTTTTTTGTATGTTGTATTAATGGGCTGAGTTATACATCGAAGTGACATTTTAGACAGAATTTCCATCGACTAGGGAATATAAGACCTCACTTTGGGTATAAGCAACCCAACATAGAAATTAAAATGAGGAGTTAAATTGTAGAGATAGTGTTGAATATCATTTCAGCCTAATAAAACTTAAATTATAGGGTGGAATTTTTCAACATATAAAAACACTATCATAATTTGGTCCATCCCCTTACAGCCATAATGCCCAAAGAGACTAAATAACACTAACTTGACAACCCAACCTCTCGGTGGTATAAAGTAATAATATTCATGACATATGGTACCACCTTGGTATAAACTCAACATCTCATTGAGATCACATCTCTCCATTATAAAATAAAGACATCATCTTAGAGTAAATATGACATCACAAACGTATCAATTTTATTTTGTCTATTTAATCTATAACTAGAAAAACAGCAACTCCACGGAGTAGCAAATCCCACCGAACAAATTTTTTTGACAATTAGTCACCGTCTTGAAAAAATTCTTCTTTTACCCTTAAATGATCAACTGTGCATCTGAGGCGCACTTGTCATTCATTGTTATTTACATTTATAATAAGCAGACATATGAAAAACATATTTTAGGGAAAATGGCAACTATTTTGAAATGCAGCCGTCATCTTGAATTTTCTTCTCAAGCAGAGCTCCTTTCCCACCACTGGTATTTCAGTTATCAATGATTACATTTTTTTAAGAAAAATGGCAAACATTTTGAAATTCAGATGTCATCTTGAAAATTCCTTCTCAAGCAAAACTCCTTTGTCCCTAGACATCGGCATATAAAATCAGAACAAAATCCATCCACTGGTAATTGAGTATCAAATATTACGTTTTTTTTACCAAAAATGGTGGCCATTTTGAAATCAGGGGCCACCTTGGAAATGTCTTCTTAAGCAAAGCTCCTTTGTGTCTAGGCATCAGCATATAAAATTTGAACCCAATCCGTCCATTGGTATTTGAGTTATCAAAGATTACGTTCTTTTAAGAAAAATGGCAACCATTTTAAAATTCAGCTGCCATTTTGAAAATTCTTCCTCGAACAGAGCTACTGTGTCCCTAGGCATTATCATATAAAATTTAAAACAAATCCGTTCGCTGGTATTAGAGTTATCAAAATTTTATGTTTTTTTACGAAAAATGGCCACCATTTTGAAATTCAGTGGCCATCTTGAAAATTCATTTTTGAACAAAGCAACTGGGTCCCTAGCCATCATCATATAAAATTTGAACCAAATCCGTTCACTGGTATTTGAGTTATCAAAGATTATGTTTTTTAACGAAAAATTGCCGTCATTTTGAAATAAAGCGGCCATCTTGAAAATTCTTTGTTGAACAGAGCTACTGTGTCCCTAGGCATAATCATATAAAATTTCAACCAAATATGTTCACTGGTATTTGACTTATCAAAGATTACGGTTTTTACGAACAATTGCCACCATTTTGAAATTAAGCGGCCATCTTGAAAAATTTTTGTTGAACATAGCTACTGTGCCCCTAAGCATCATCATATAAAATTTGAACCAAATCCGTTCACTGGTATTTGAGTTATCAAAGATTACATATTTTTACGAAAAATGGCCGCCATTTTGAAATTAAGTGGCCATCTTGAAAATCTCTTTTTGAGCGAAACTCCTTTGTCCCTAGGCATCAGCATATAAAATTTGAACCAAATCCGTCAACTTGTATTTGAGTTATCAACGATAACGTTTTTTACGAAAAAATTTTGAATTGAGCAGCCATATTGAAAATTCCTTCTCGAGCAGAGGTCCTACACTCATAAGGCATAAGCCTATAAAATTTGAACCAAATCTGTCAACCGGTATTGGAGTTATCGCCCGGACACACGGACGGACGGATGAACGGACGGACGGCTTCTCTATATCCCCCTCGAACTTCGTTCGGTGGGACAATTATCTCATTCCATCCGTTTCAGTCCACTGAAATCCTGTTATGATTTCACCTTTCTAACAATAGACAGAATTGATGATTATAAATAAGTTTATACATACAGTATTTGAAAAATTTCTTGGAAATGTTTTGCGATTGCATCCGAGATGATTGATTTTTGAATGTTAATACATGTAACTTCATCATCATCAGTCATAACTGCTATACAACATTTATTTAAAATATTTAACAAGAACAAAGAAATAGTTCCCAAAGGTAAACTCAAAAAGTTTGGACTTGAGGTTTTGAAATGTTAATGGAACTAAAAGTAATGGAATTTTAGTAAATGCAACATTTTTCTTAAAACAGATCTAAATTGAAAATAAATGAGGGCTTCACAATTTCATTTATTTTCCGAGGGCAACTGGGCATTCCCAACTTCAGTTCTATTGATTGTCTGATTTCAGCCTATATTTAAAAATATCCCATTTTGGATTTTTTGTAAAGATAGTACACAATAATTCGATGATAACATGGTAGAATGTCCACATCTGGTAGCACTTACAAATGAGATTATAAATACCAATGCTTACTGTCCACCATAAGTACACATTTTGAGAGGAGTTTTCAAAAAAGTCCCTGATCACTGAATACTTCATATTTGAATGATGAATGTAGTATTGCATCCGATGATGAACCTCAGCCATCATGATGCACTTTTAGCGTCATTGTTATCATTAACAACATTTACATCTGAGGAATGCAAGCCTTCAACATTCTGAGAAACTTTTGGTGACTCTCTGAATGACTCTATCAAATTACTGCTATCCTGAGCATCATGCAGTATCTCATCTTTTATTGAACATTTGGGTGTAAGTCTTATATCTGAGGAATGCAAGCCCTCCACATTCCGGGATACTTTTGGTGATCTTCGGAATGACTTCTCTTTATGTACATTCCTCATGTGTAAGTACAAACTAGAAGATTGTGTAAATGTCTTAGAACACGATTTACATGTGTATGGCTTCTCTCCTGTGTGAATTCGGGAATGTTTCTTAAGGTCATATCTTATTGCAAATGTTTTAAGGCAAAGTTCACACTTGAATGGTTTATCTGGAAATGGGCTTCCACTAAGACTATTGCTATAGCGTTTCCTTTGTGATTTATGTTTAACTGTTGTTGTCATTGGTTGGTTGTTACTCCAGTTCATTAAGGCTGTAAATAAAAAAAGTAACTTGTAAATTATATTTCAAAACTACTTTTTCATGATTTTGCCAATTAATATAAACAATCTTTTACCATATTTGTAAAATAGAGGAACATGACTGATATACATGTAAAACTGTATTTTTCCTAGATGGTAAGGGCCTGATTTCAAGAAAATGATTTGTAGAGTAAAATATTTTAAATGCTTCTTTATAAATAATAGATCGACTATTAAGTGCTTATGTGCAGAGTGCTTCTAATTATAAATGTACCTGAGTCTTCATTTATTTTTTTGGAAAGTCCCTGTATTGTTCCCAACAAGTCCTCTTCTCTCATCCAGTTGTTTTCCTCCTCCGCCCCTACCCCTCCATATCCATCATCAAGCACATCCTCCTTCTCCTCTTTAATCTCTTGTTTCACACATTTATATAAATTCCCATTTGCAGGAGGCTGGTCCAGGGGATGTGGTTTTTTCTTGTGCTTTTTGGAGACATCACTTGATATGTACATAGGCACTTGGCTGGAAAGGCTGTTGCCATGGATACCTAAGGGTTGATGTCCTATTGCTGCTCCTCTGGGTGTCTTCACTGTCACACCTGCAAAAAGTGTAGGTTTCTCATATGGGAAAAAACTGAGTGAAAATAGACAGATTCTCTGTAACAGCATTTGTGCATCTAGCTTTTTTTAAAAACAACCAAATTGTCAGAATTTAGAAACTGGTGTTCCATTGAAACTATGTTTAGTGTGCCTGACAAATGGCTTTGTGTATACATGTAGTACAAACAAATGACTCTTATGTCATATGTTCATCACCAGATACATATGAATACTACTGTAGATAAAACTGTCAAAATTACTAGATTATAAAATTGTCAAATATTCACTTGATCCTAACTTATCGACTGTATGTCTTATGTTATATCTCTCATTGTTGTTCTTTTTTAGTAACCACCTTGTCTGTCTTTCGATGTTTTATTAATTTTCTACCTTTATGCTTTGTCATCTAGTATAATGTAAGTTACCTTTACAATAATAATTGTCACATTTATATGGTAAATCATTAAATAATGTTTATATCACATTTTATCACATTAATATGATAAGTCATTGAATTATGTTTATATCACAATTTATCACATTAATATGATAAGTCATTGAATTATGTTTATATCACAATTTATCACATTAATATGGTAAGTCATTAAATATTGTTTATATCCCATTAATATGGTAAGTCATTAAATTTTGTTTATATCACAATTTATCACATTAATATAGTGAGTCATTAAATAATGTTTATTTATACAATTTATCACATTAATATGGTAAGTCATTGAATTATGTTTATATCACAATTTATCACGTTAATATGGTAAGTCATTAAATAATGTTTATTTCACAATTCATCACATTAATATGGTAAGTCATTAAATATTGTTTATATCACAATTTATCACGTTAATATGGTAAGTCATTAAATAATGTTTATATCACAATTTATCACATTAATATGGTCAGTCATAAAATAATGTTTATATCACAATTTATCACATTAATATGATAAGTCATTAAATATTGTTTATATCACATTAATATGGTAAGTCATTAAATAATGTTTATATCACAATTTATCACATTAATAAGGTAAGTCATTAAATAATGTTTATTTCACAATTCATCACATTAATATGGTAAGTCATTAAATATTGTTTATATCACAATTTATCACATAAATATAGTGAGTCATTAAATAATGTTTATTTCACAATTTATCACATTAATATGGTAAGTCATTAAATATTGCTTATATCACAATTTATCACATTAAAACACAATTTATCACATTAATTTGGTAAGTCATTAAATAATGTTTATATCACATTTTATCACATTAATATGATAAGTCATTGAATTATGTTTATATCACAATTCATCACATTAATATGGTAAGTCATTAAATAATGTTTATATCACAATTTATCACGTTAATATGGTAAGTCATTAAATAATGTTTATATCACAATTTATCACATTAATATGGTCAGTCATAAAATAATGTTTATATCACAATTTATCACATTAATATGCTAGGTCATTAAATATTGTTTATATCACATTAATATGGTAAGTCATTAAATAATGTTTATATCACAATTTATCACATTAATAAGGTAAGTCATTAAATAATGTTTATTTCACAATTCATCACATTAATATGGTAAGTCATTAAATATTGTTTATATCACAATTTATCACATAAATATAGTGAGTCATTAAATAATGTTTATTTCACAATTCATCACATTAATATGGTAAGTCATTAAATATTGTTTATATCACAATTTATCACATAAATATAGTGAGTCATTAAATAATGTTTATTTCACAATTTATCACATTAATATGGTAAGTCATTAAATATTGCTTATATCACAATTTATCACATTAAAACACAATTTATCACATTAATTTGGTAAGTCATTAAATAATGTTTATATCACAATTTATCACATTAATTTGGTTAGTTATTTAATAATGTTTATATCACAATTTATCACATTAATTTGGTAAGTCAATAAATAATGTTTATATCACAATTTATCACATTAATATAGTGAGTCATTAAATAATGTTTATATCACAATTTATCACATTAAAACACAATTTATCACATTAATTTGGTTAGTTATTTAATAATGTTTATATCACAATTCATCACATTAATATGGTAAGTCAATAAATAATGTTTATATCACAATTTATCACATTAATATTGTAAGTCATTAAATATTGTTTATATCACAATTTATCACATTAAAACACAATTTATCACATTCATTTGGTTAGTCATTAAATAATGTTTATATCACAATTTATCACATTAATTTGGTTAGTCAATAAATAATGTTTATATCACAATTTATCACATTAATATGGTAAGTCAATAAATAATACATATAACATAAATTATTAGGATGTATGATTGATCAACTGAATGAGTCATTCCACAAACATAAAGTACCCCCCGTATTTTTTAGGGTCAAAAACTCCATTTTGACAACTTTCACTCCAGATGGTGTGGCAAACCAAAATTTTCTGAAGAATCACATAATTATACATAAGAAAAAAGTAATTTTTGTGTGCTAGTTTACTGTATGCAAGTTACCTTTACAAATAGATTCCGGCATCACAGGATTACTTTGGGAGCTAGTTTGAGGTGTGTCATGGTCTGTTTGAGGTGTGTCATGGTATATCTCAACGGAATTCCTTTCCAAAGTCGAGTCAATCATTTCATACTGATCACCTTCCCATGATGCAATAGAGGCTGGTGGCTGAGCTGGTTTCACAACTGTTCGATGCATTTTGATGACCACATCATTCTGAATGCTTCCATTTGATACACATATGATTCCATCAATTTCTAATGACTGTGAAAATTCCATATTCTCTGCACACATTTTGAGAACAGAATCCTGGATCATCTTTGATAAAACAAAGTTTGTGGACCCCATGGCAACCAGATCTTTGTACTTTACTATGTCGACCTAAGAAAAATCAAGCAGATGATATACAAAGAAATATTAATTTCATTACCATTAATGTTTCTATGGATGTCATGTGATCATGTGTGAAGTAGGTCATATTCTAGAATTTTATATATCAGGATCACCAGTCCGTCTAATAATACTTTCTATAGTAAAGTCAAATACAAGAATCGGAATAAATCAATGATTTTTTCCAAAGGCCCGAGAACATGTATAAACTAGACAACAGCAACGCCAAAGCGTAGCAAATCCCATTGAACAGCCATGGCTGGCATTTTTACAAACAAAGTATATACCAAAAATGGCTGTCATTTTTCAAAATGGCCACCTTTTACCAAAAGTGTCATTAGACAGTGTGCCATGCCTATAGTATTCACATACCAAATATGAACAAAATCGCTCCACTGCTTTTCGAGTTATTGTAAAATACTCTTCAAATGTTGAGGTGATTTTGGAGCCTGATTACGCCGCAAGGAGAATTGGCTCCCAGAATGCAACATGACACGTGCCAATTTAAAATCCCATTCCGCAATTTTGAAACCTGTCACGAGTAAATAAGGTTAACTGATGTTGCATTCTGAGAGTCAATCCTCCTTGGATCACAAACATGGCGATTCATGAAAACATTCGTTCGATTTGGTACGAATTTATCCATCATTTGCAGGTATGAAGCTTTGGATTCATTTATTGTGCTACTTAGAGTGAACGGAATTCTCATTTTCGCGGTTCGCTCTTTGAATCAGAACGTTCGCAAATATACACTGAAAAAGCACTCAAAAAGGACAAAATTTGATTGGTCAATAGTTTCCCACTCTGCATTTCGCGTAGCTATTTGCGTGACACGAACGTTCTGAATCAAACTAATTACTCAATTTTGTTTTTACACCCGCACGCTAAATAAAACAATGACACCATCGTAAGTATTCTTCTTTGTCATTGCTTTAATAGTCAGTATACCGAGTTTAATCAATAAAAGATTGTACAATGAACAACAAAATTCGGAAACGAGTACTATAGATTTGCTTTCGGACCACTGAACTGATTGACCTAGATAATAGCGACGCGTCTTCTTTGGTCTACTGCTGAGTTGTTTGTGGGTTTTCAACGTAACTCTATAATGTAATTTGAAGATGAATACTTTTATTCAGTTGTTGCATCGATGTCGCAGTTCGTAGTGCGGTAAGATTGGCATGAAAGTATTGAAAGTCGAATGGAATTGTTTTTTCCAATATGGCGACTAGTCTACTGATCACGTGACCTTCTCTTCCGGAATATTTTCTCACTTTTCAATTATTGTTTTCACCACGCTATGAATTAATACAATGAAAAAAATAGCTGTTATATTAAGATTAATGAGAGATCAATCGTTTCTAATAATTTTTACTGTACTCTCGTACGGGAATATGAACGAATATATCGTTTGAAAAATAGGTGTGAAAATCCCCATGTTAAGGGGACTCATCTCTAACCTAGCCGATTTTGGGATACCCTGCACGCACTGTTTATGTTTCTTTTTTCCGAAGGGTATCATATATGCTTTCATTTGATGTAAAAAACATTAGATGTTAGCCATCAAAATATTTCACTTTATCGTCTGAAAGATGGGTGTGACTTTACGGAAAAAGCGCCTCAATTTACCCGTTTCACTAGAATACGCTTGCTTTAAAAGCGACACGTTCTCAATTTATCAATGATTGATAGGAAAATCGTCACACGGCCACCAAGATTGTTTTTAATTTACGGCATTTGATAAGCTGAAGACTTTTGATGCCAATTATTTTTCATGGGTACTAATAAAGCATAATATGAACAGCTTAGATAAAGAGTTTTGACCCCTTACCCAAGTTCGGCAGTGCAATTGACGCCATATAAAATTTTAATTGTATTCCAATTTTCATAAACTTTGACATTTTTTGAGGAAAAAACTAAAACATTGACATATTGTTTTTATTGTTTCAAACAATAGTTCACGTACCCCTAAATAACATCTGAAAATATAAAAAGGTTCCACCGTCGATTTTTTCTGTTATTTATTTTCGGAGTTTCGGCTTTTTCTTATATTTTCAAGAATTTCATCGATTATCACTAACAATTTTTTTTTAGTTCGAAACGGTATGATCTCGCTATACGTGTTATTGGGCATTCAAATTATTTTATAATCGCTTAAAATGATACAAATGCAATGCCTTTTATCATCTGAATAGTTTGAATTTCAAGAAAATTCAAATGAGGGTAAATAAATTAAAGCCTTATGTAAGACTAACATTTGTAAATGGTTCTTGACGCAATGTTGAATTTCAATCGCCTCTTTATTTCAATAAACTTTGATGTTATTTGAAGTAAAAAATCGATGGTGAAACTTTTTTATTTTAGATGTTTTTAAGAGGCACACAACTCGGTGGCTATACCGTAGGCTAAAACGATTTTCTTATACATCAGTAATATATGGGATACTTATCATTTTGATTTCAAAGGTAATATATGATGAAACCTTATATAAATTGCTCATACAAATGGCATTTAGCGGAAAAAAGAAAAAAGCAAGTTACATGCTGGTTTGCCATGTCTATAAAACATTTGCATGCTTGTTATACTGCTGGAATAAAGCGAACTAAGTTTGAACGAATACAAGAAAACAAAGCAAACACCCAAATTATGCAATTATTTGGGAAATCAGTGACGTATAGGTTATTTGTTTGTTTAATTGTTGATGGGGCAATGTGTCACTGACGTCACAGATGATGGTACCATATTCCAAGAATTCGTGAACAAGAGTGTTATATGACGTCATGATAAAACACTGCTTCGAGTGAGGAGCCCATAGTTGCTATGAGTTACTATGTCGTAATGTGTCATATACCGTCATTCAGCGTCATTAACATTTAATTATAGAACACTTGTCAAACGTGAAGTTAACAAACAAGCTTTTCCTGGAGATATATATTTTCTGTTCTGCAACTGGCAGGTGTATCACCATTGTCGTAAGGGTTAGAGATGAGTCCCCTTAAACCTATGAGGGAAAATAAGGAAGTATAAATTTGTTCCCCCGCGAACTGCATCATGGGAAATATTTTGCCCTTATAAGGAAAGATTTTCGCGTCTTCTCTTTTGAAGAGGGAACAACGATTTCGAGAATTATTTTTCTATCGCTTGGGAGAGTTTGAGACATGAAACTTAGAATTTAGCTCATTGTGACAACTTTTGATGGTTGAGGTTTATTAATGTCTCCGACTGTATAGTTCTAACGGCGTTCTTTACTATTAGGAATTTTCCTGGCCGTTATTGGGTTTAACCTCCTAACTATTCTTTCCTTTTTTTCAAGTTCTGGATCCATCAAAACCATTTCTCCGCGATAACATGCAACTGATACTTGACAATAATATAAAAACACATAACATCAAGCGATTTAACACAACATTATTGTGTTAAATGTTCATTTATACTAGTAAAATGAGGCTACACTTACCAATCTCTAAAATGACATTTCCGCATGTCTGTCATTGTGTCTGTTCGTCCTGGTGTCCCGGGTTAAAATTAAATAAACCATTAGCGAAACAAAATTGTTGTCAAATAGACTGATAATTATTATCGCGATTACTCGGGATAAAAAAATCAATTTGAGCATAACAGGTATTTAGCGTGTGTATACACGCAAAATAGTTATGAATTGCAAACCTACTGTTTGTTAATGCAGTGCCGCAATGACAGTTAATTTCTGATACGATTTGCAATTTAGATGTTACCAGAACTGACCTGGTAACATTTTTTTCTATATTCCAAACCTGTCTCCAATATTTTCGTAATTATGCATCAATAGGGTCTAAGGGGGATACAGGATGGTGTGTATGTATTCATAAGGTTGCATGCTTGAATCACATACTTTATGTAATATTACCATGTTATCATGGTTTAATTAGTTCCGCTTGTCAAAACCTGCGAACGATTAAATTAACGAATCAAAGGCAAAATGATCATGGAGGTTAGACCAAGCTGGGGCCATAAGACATGTCAGATAAGAAACGAGGCCCAGGCTAGGTCTAATGCATAGGAGACAGGTTACCTGAGAAGGAAGATATCATCATCTCTTATTTAAACGTACAGCTCTGAACAGATAAAGGATGCAAATCTTGGACAAAGAAATGCTCAATAAGTTGTTCAGTTCGAGGTATTTATCATAAAATTGACAAAATATACAAAGGTCACTATGTGTTGATAAACAAAGGAAATTTATACTCACCAAATAACACCCTAATATGCAATAACATTGAGAAACAAGCAAATAATTTTAGTTTTTCAATTAGTTCATTTTCTCCTTTTTGAAGAGCTCGATTATCTATAGGGGACCAATCATTTTCGCATACTTAAAAAATGTAATAAATATGTCGTATTCTGTATATGTACAATTATTGAGTATCTGATGAACGTCGGGAAAGGCGTTCAACTCAATACTCCAAAAGAATAATGCATGAATGTAAGTATTACTAGAGATCCCGGGCTAGAGATAGATATAGCTGATTTCGCTATACCGAGTTAGATTCTAGATAAGAGAATCAGCAATAGATGTCATCACCAGTAATTGAAATGAAGCTCTCAAAATATTATGAAGGTAGAAATTTGATATGTGTTTTACAGTACATACTACATACCGTTACACAACATTAGATTGATATAAAGTCTAACGTTGCTCACATCGATGTTTGATTTGATTTATTACGTAATTTAGTATTGTTGATTTTTGTACAGTACAATATTTCAATATTTATTTATTTTTTCAGATATATGCTTTCAACAATGATCATCTTGGAATAGTTGTACTTCTAATTTTGACGTTCCTTGCTAACTGTCAGAACATAGTCCACCCACATTGTCCCAAAAGGTAATACATGTATGCAATCAAATTAGTCACATCACTGGGTCTGTGCATGGGCTTTCAACTAAGATGAAAGCTCATGGTTTGTGTAACGGGTTCTTCTTCTTTATCCAATTTACGTGTTAGTGTACTTAACACGATGGCACTTTAATGCTGCCTTTGGTCACTAGATACATCGGTTTCACTGTGTACTATAATCCCGGGGGGTTCACTAAAATATGGGTCCATTGCCATACCAAACGTTGAAAAAGGTACCCCACATGCGCCGAGGATCCCCGTCAAGGTTTATATATAGTGAACCCCCCGGGACTATAATATCACTTGTGCTTTTCACTAATACTTTTTGAGAGTGCGCATTCTTGACATTATAAATAGTTATTGTTATCTGAAAGAGTCAATATCTTAATTATAATGAAGACTTAACGGGTAACCGGTTAGCTGGATGATCGGCTACCTAAGGGTTAGGATTTTGATTTTTTCATTTTATGCCTCAAAACGCCCAACTGACCTCCAGCTCAACATACCAGTCACAGTCCTGTCAACCTGGGAACACCTAAAATGAGCAGGCCTGTCAACTTGGGGACAAATAACATGAATGACTTATACAAATGCTGAACACTTTCTTCAAATTGTGGATACCTTGGTCTAAATCTAAACACCTTGGCCCACAGTTTGAACACCTTGGTCCAAATCTGAACACCTCGGCCCACAGTTTGGACACCTGGTACATATTTTATTGCAAATTTTGGACACTTCAAAAAATTCAAAATATTTCGAGGAAATTGCGTGACATATATGGTATTCGCGTGAAAAGTCAGAATGAAATTTTTTTCGGCATTCTTTCTTTTACTGTGTCAGCGATCACTTATTTGAAGTTTTTCTACAAAAATATTTTTGCCTGACATGTAAAATGCGTATTTGCGTGGCATATTCTGTACCCTTTGCATTCCTTCGACTTCACTTCTTTAAAGAGAGCTTCGTCTTCACTCTTTCATTTTGCAATAAATCTCCGATCTCACCGAGCCAATCAGAGTTTGTCGTCGAAATACGGACAACTTTTTATATGGTCATTTCCTCTGACATCCCCGCATCGTTAATGAGCACGTATTTTGCGCGTGTTCCTTCCACCTTGCTGATTGGTTGAGAAAGGATCAGCGTGGTAGATTTGAAATTATTTATTACCCGGGCTGTCACAGGCTCCAAGGGGCTGGGCTGCTTAACTGAAATATAGTCTATGCTAGGCAGAGTGTAGTTTATAACTAGACTCTGCGCTCAGGGTATATATTCTGTAACACAAAAAAACTGGCATGACTTCAAATTTTCTAGCAAATGCGTGACAAATATGCAAATTGCGGGACAGTTGGATGGCCTGATTGAGTGGCTTACAAATGTTGACCTTCATTCAAATTGTGAATACCTTGGTCCAAATGAGAACACCATGCTCCAAATTTTGGACACCTTGATCCGAGATAAAACAAAGCAAATGTGTGTAAACTTTCGATTATTTCTCCATTCATATTTTTTAGGCGTTCGTTAATTCGTTTTTTGGGCGTGAACTGAAACATTTTTACTTGACAATGATTTGCAATGATTTTACTTGACAATGCATATTTGCTAAACTGTCACGCAAAAAACAGGAGTGACTTCAATTTCTTCAGCATATGCGTTACAAATACGCAAATTGCGGAACAGTTGGACAGCTTGCAGTCATACAATCAACCAATCAAACAACCAACCAAGCAACCAACTTATCTACCAATGAGCCAACTGGCAAAACAAACAAACATCGATATTCTGTCGATCACTCATTCAACAACTAACGTTGTATTGTACATCATACGTTAATTGACAGATAAAAATGGCAATAACGTTTCAATTTATGCGTGCATAATATATTAAACAAAGAAGATTTGTTTAATATCAAGTAGAAATTGCAATCGTAGAAAACAATCAACGATATCCTGTCAATCACTCAGACAATATAAATCAAGCAACTAATGTCATCGTACATGTAAACTGTTTAAAATGTAAACTACCTTGGACTTCAAAAGTCAGTCCCTTTTGTGTTCATCTTTATTCAGAGGATATCTTGTGTAACCAGGTAACCATTCAGTTTTCCTGATATTGATAAAGTACTTAGCCGATTATTCTGAAAAGTGCGAGTACGAGTGTTATTTCGATAGCTTATAATAAATAGTGTTATTTGGATAGCTTATAATAGAGAGTGTCATTTGGATAGCTTATAATAGAGAGTGTCATTTGGATAGCTTATAATATGATAGTGTCATTTGGATAGCTAATTAAAATAGGGAGTGTTATTTAGATAGCATATAATAGAGGGTGTTATTTGGATAGCTTATAATGGAGAGTGGTATTTGGATAGCTTATGACAGAGAGTGTTATTTGGATATCTTATGATAGGGAGTGTTATTTGGATAGCTTGTAACAGAAAGTGTTATTTGGATAGCTTATAGTAGAGAGTGTTATTTGGATAGCTTATATTATAGAGTGTTATTCGGATAGCTTATAATAGGTAATGTTATTTGGATAGCTTATAGTAGAGAGTGTTATTTGGATAGCTTATAATATATAGTGTTATTTGGATAGCTTATAAAAGAAAGTGTTATTTGGACAGCTTATAATAGAGAGTGTTATTTGGATAGCTTATAAAAGAAAGTATTATTTGAATAGCTTATAATAGAGAGTGTTATTTGCATAGCTTAGAATAGAGAGATTTATTTGAATAGCTTATAGTAGAGAGTGTTATTTGGACAGCTTATAATAGAGAGTGTTATTTTGATAGCTTATAAAAGAAAGTATTATTTGGATAGCTTATAATAGAGAGTGTTATTTGGATAGCTTATAAAAGAAAGTGTTATTTGGATAGCTTATAATAGAAAGTGTTATTTGGATAGCTTATAATAGAGAGTGTTATTTGGATAGCTTTTAAAAGAAAGTGTTATTTGGATAGCTTATAATAGAGAGTGTTATTTTGATATAGCTTAGCGTATTATAGAATGGGATCTGAATAGTACAAAATATAGGGAAAGCACTGTGATATACGAGGGTTGATCCAAAAGTTCTCCATCGTTTTATCTAAAAAAATTATTTCTTATTGAATTTTGTTCAAACTTGGTCAGAAGCAACATGAATATGATAGCTTGGTATTGTATTAATATCATTGAAAACAAATAATATTAACTACGTCATTTGGTTACCATAGTAACAGGACAACGAGGTAGGCGGAGTTGAATAAAATCACTGTTTATTACAATTTCTTGTCAAACAACATGGTGTTATTACAGAGTTTTAACCAGGGGTTTTAACATAAATGAAGGCTATTATTTGATGCAATATCAATGTTCATTCTCCCTCAAAATAGTCCCCACCTTGGGCTATGCATTTATTGCATCGTTTTATCCAATTATTGAACACATGCCGAAGTCCATTCTCAGCAACTGAATACACACTGTTGGTAAAAGCTTCAATCAGCGACTCATCATCTGCAAAACGAATCCCACATGGTTTGACAAGAAATTGTAATAAACAGTGATTTTATTCAGCTCCGCCTACCTCATTGTCCTGTTACTATGGTAACCAAATGACAAAGTTAATATTATATTTTTTCAATGATATTATATTAATACAATACCAAGCTATCATATACATGTTGCTCTTGACCAAGTATGAACAAAATCCACCAAGAAATAATTTTTTAGATAAAACGGTGGAGTACTTTTGGATCAACCCTTGTAAAACTGCTGAATCATGCTATTGATATGAAAAACTGCTACGTCATGTATCATTTATAAATTGGAACTACATGTATTTATATATGAAATTGCCAACATACTGACAATTATCCTTTAACAGTAAATAAAGACTTTTGCATCAAGAGGAATATTATTTAGACAACTGTAGAGATAATACAACAGAACTGCAAAGAATTGCAATACAGTTAATTGGTACGTATATGTAGTACTGTACATATCAATAAGAAAATCAAAAGAAGGAAGTGACTATTTGGATATATTAAAAGGCAAATTAATGTGTTTTACATTGTTAAGAAGCAATTGTAATTTCTATATTGGCACTTTCAGATCCACAGACTTAGATAACACTTGTGACATGTCTCGCACAGTTGTGAAGTCAGTGCTTAGTGTTGAGCAGGCTGAAGGCATGGGAGCAAGAGTAAGACGTAGTGTCGGCAGGAGAGAGGTAAATTCATTTTCATTTTATTAAAGATTGCTTTTACCAAATTAAAAGTGTTGTCCTTTTAAGATTTGATGGGAACAGTAAAACATGCTCAACTTTTACTCCCACAAACATATTAATGAAATACTTGTATACACATTTTCCTTTACCACTCTTTTAAATATTCAAACTGTATAGTATGGCAGTTTTCAATTGTGTTGCAGCTGAAGAATCTTGATCCATTCTTGATGCTTGATGAATTTAAAGGCCAGGCACCTGCTGGGTTCCCAGACCATCCACACAGAGGATTTGAAACAGTAAGGCCATATCTTTGTAATGCTATAAGGTGGACGGGCCACATCTTAGTAATGTTATAAGGTGGAAGGGCCACATCTTAGTAATGTTATAAGGTGGACGGGCCACATCTTAGTAATGTTATAAGGTGGAAGGGCCATGTCTTGGTAATGTTATAAGGAGGAAGGGCCTTATCTTGGTAATGTTATAAGGGAAAAGGGGCTATGTCTTGGTAATATTATAAGGAAAAGGGGGGCCATATCTTACTAATATTATAAGGGGAAAGAGGCATATATCTTGGTAATATTATAAGGGAAAGGGGGCCATATCCTGGTAATGTTATAAGGGAAAGGGGGCCATATCTTAGTAATTTTATAAGGGAAAGGGGGCTATATCTTGGTAATATTATAAGGGAAAGGGGGGCCATATCTTGGTAATATTATAAGGGAAAGGGGGCCATAGCTTAGTAATGTTATTAGGGAAAGGGGGCTATATCTTGGTAATATTATAAGGGAAAGGGGGGCCATATCTTGGTAATATTATAAGGGAAAGGGGGCCATAGCTTAGTAATGTTATAAGGGAAAGGGGGCTATATCTTGGTAATATTATAAGGGAAAGGGGGGCCATATCTTGGTAATATTATAAGGGAAAGGGGGCCATATCTTAGTAATGGTATAAGGGAAAGAGGGCCATATCTTAGTAATGTTATAAGGAAAAGGGGGCTATATCTTGGTAATATTATAAGGGAAAGGGGGGCAATATCTTGGTAATATTATAAGGGAAAGGGGGCCATATCCTGGTAATGTTATAAGGGAAAGAGGGCCATATCTTAGTAATGTTATAAGGGAAAGGGGGCCATATCTTAGTAATGTTATAAGGGAAAGGGGGCCATATCTTAGTAATGTTATAAGGGAAAGGGGGCCATATCCTGGTAATGTTATAAGGGAAAGGGGGCCATATCCTGGTAATGTTATAAGGGAAAGGGGGCCATATCTTAGTAATGTTATAAGGGAAAGGGGGCCATATCCTGGTAATGTTATAAGGGAAAGGGGGCCATATCCTGGTAATGTTATAAGGGAAAGGGGGCCATATCTTAGTAATGTTATAAGGGAAAGGGGGCCATATCTTAGTTATGTTATAAGGTGGAAGGGCCATATCTTAGTAATGTTATAAGGTGGAAGGGCCATATCTTAGTAATGTTATAAGGTGGAAGGGCCATATCCGGGTAATGTTATAAGGTGAAAGGGCCAAATCCTTGTAATATTATAAGGGGAACAAGGCCATATCTTGGTAGTGGTGTAGCAGGAAGGGTGCCATATCTTGGTAATGTTACAAGGGGAAGAAGGCCATATCTTGGTACTGAGTTACAGTAAATTATATAAAGAAAGATTTCCATGGATTCACCATGAGTAGATGGTTACTAAAATTGACGGTCTTACATTTATACCATGGATATTTTTTTGTTTCTATTTTAAGGTTACTTATGTGTTGTCTGGAGCCATGATTCATGAAGACTTTTGTGGCCACAAGGGTATTATTGGAGCTGGTGATTTGCAGGTAGGTGGGAGAAGAGAAATATAAAGGTATTATTGGAGCTGGTGATTTGCAGGTAGGTGGGAGAAGAGACATATAAAGGTATTATTGGAGCTGGCGATTTGCAGGTAGGTGGGAGAAGAGAAATATAAAGGTATTATTGGAGCTGGCGATTTGCAGGTAGGTGGGAGAAGAGACATATAAAGGTATTATTGGAGCTGGTGATTTGCAGGTAGGTGGGAGAAGAGACATATAAAGGTATTATTGGAGCTTGTGATTTGCAGGAAGTTGGGAGAAGAGACATATAAAGGTATTATTGGAGCTTGTGATTTGCAGGTAGGTGGGAGAAGAGACATATAAAGGTATTATTGGAGCTGGCGATTTGCAGGTAGGTGGGAGAAGAGACATATAAAGGTATTATTGGAGCTTGTGATTTGCAGGTAGGTGAGAGAAGAGACATATAAAGGTATTATTGGAGATGGTGATTTGCAGGTAGGTGGGAGAAGAGACATATAAAGGTATTATTGGAGATGGTGATTTGCAGGTAGGTGGGAGAAGAGACATATAAAGGTATTATTGGAGCTGGCCATTTGCAGGTAGGTGGGAGAAGAGACATATAAAGGTATTATTGGAGATGGTGATTTGCAGGTAGGTGGGAGAAGAGACATATAAAGGTATTATTGGAGCTGGTGATTTGTAGGAAGGTGAGAGAAGAGACATTTAAAGGTATTATTGGAGCTGGCAATTTAGAATTAAAGAGTTTTTTGAAGGTAGATGATAGGGTCTTAACTGACAGAGTGAATTTTTACATCTTAAGTGTTTAAGACAGAATTGACAACTCCTACAAGGAATACCTCATGATTTGAATTATGAGAGTCTCTGAATTGGCTGAGTGAGTTTAGTTTTGTGTAGTTAATGTAAAGAATGAATGACAGAAATGACAACTCTTACAAAGAAAACCTCATGATTACATTTTTTACTCTTCTTGGTTTCAGTGGATGACAGCCGGTCGAGGAATAGTTCATTCTGAAATGCCTTATGGTAAACAAATGAATCATGGCTTACAACTCTGGGTGAATTTAGCAAAAAAGGACAAAATGATCTCTCCGGCTTATCAAGAATTGAAAGATCAAGAAATTCCTAAAGTTGAAAAGGATGGAGTCAGAGTGAAAGTGATTGCAGGGGAATCAATGGGAACAAAGGTAAACTCTGTAATAAATGAACAGTTGAAGATACTTTTAAATTTATCTAAACAAACTTTTTTCTCAACAAGCATAGTGTGGGTATGATATATCAGAGCTGTCTGCCTGTTTGGCTGTTTGGCTGACATCAATTTATATGTTTCTTCATTAATGTAAAATCCATGGTTTAAAACTCACAGTGCCTGGCTACAAATGGCAATCAATTCACTCTCTACGCATTTACACAATGGCTTCAAATGGCAATCAATTCACTCTTTACGCATTTACACAAAGGCATAAAGGGTTGATATTAAATCAAATTCAAGGAGAGGAATCACCACACATTATTGTCCTTTCTCCCTATACTTCCACTGTTCTCTACTTAATATGTAAACCTATTTAACATGTAATGTTATGAACATGAAACTGATTTTCTAAGTGCATGTGGTAGATGAATCAATAATTTTAAAAGAAAAATGTGATGCCAATTTAATGTTTTTCAGTCTCCATTATAAGCCTATATTCCTACATCTTCAGGCTTTTAACATTATACAATTGCTTTTCAGTCTCCATTATAAGCCTAGCCCTATACTCCTACATCTTCAGGCTTTTAACATTATACAATTGCTTTTCAGTCTCCATTATAAGCCTATACTCCTACATCTGGACTTCATGCTATTAACATTATACAATTGTTTTTCAGTCTCCATTATAAGCCTATACTCCTTCATCTGGACTTCATGCAATTAACATTATACAATGTTTTTCAGTCTCCAGTATAAGCCTATACTCCTTCATCTGGACTTCATGCTATTAGAGATTTTACATTTTGGCATGCCATCTCCTGAACTAAGGTGAACTAAGGTCATGTGATCATTTATATCCAATCAGAATGCATTTCTGCCACATAGTGATAGCATAGTGATCCAAAGCTAAACCAAGGTGTAGGAAGGGTTTATATTATCATATAGAAGGGGTGTACTCTTCTGATTGGCCATAGTTGACATGCATGTTTGCAAACTTAGTACTGGTATCCTGACAAAATGAATTCATACTACACTGATGCCTGCGTCACATTTGCTCCGTTTGTTCAAAATTTTATTCAAATAAAAATACTCAATCGGCAGGGCGCCGTAGTGAAAATCGGAGCAATCGGTATTACTTGTACACAGTGCATACCAATAGCCCATTTTCAGTATTGCAATTTCTAAGAATGGTTTACACATTTTATAAAGAAGGGTTTCCAAAATGCTCCATCATGGAATACCACGACCCTCTCTTCTTGCATCATAGACACAGACATGATTTTAGATGCGATGTTTATCAGAATTCTGATTTTCATTTGAAAATGCTCTGATGTCTTCCTATATAACTTGGCGGGAGCGTTCAAAGTACTTTCTTGATCACTAAAAATAAATGACACTGTCACAGGAACTCTGCATTAAATGTAAATCCATTGAATATTTATCCGTATGCTTAAAGTTAAGTAAGTTACGAAGATCAGATTCTTTATTACACTTGATACAAATCTATATTGATATTCAAAATCTAAGTAAACCTCTTATTTTGAAGAACCAACTATCCATCATATTACTCAGATTGGATTAATCAATATTCTCATAGTCTCTCTTGTTTGTATGATTGTTCAGTATAAATCAAACATCTTAAACATATCAAACGTCATATTTTCTCCATTCTTCAGGGTGTATAAACTAACAGTTTGTACTTTCTCCAGTGTGGGTTAAGGAAGTAGTTATCAGAAATTTACACAAAACAGGAAATGAAAAAACACGTGGATATTCAATTATTTTAAAACTGAATAGAGTTCTGTTTTGCCCATCAATCAGTTTTACTACTACTCATTTACATGACCAGCATCACAATGAACATGCTCAGAATGACTCTAAACATCATGTGAGACTTTGTTGTGACTGAAAAATGCTTAAAAAGTTTACCTTTAAAAATGTCGCCATACAGAATGTTCTGATTTTTCAAAATATGTGCCATATATATTGCTTCATACGAGCTTCAAAATTTTGAAAAGTTGATGAAACAAAAAATGTGATCATAAAAAGAAAATGGATTGCTTTCTAAATCAGTTTTCTCATTTTTTTCTATTTCTAGGAATGAATTCAAATTTTCAAAGCTCCTATCATTTCAAATAATATATTTGGCACACTTTCTGAAAATGCAATAGATTCTGTTTGGTGACCTTTCCAAAAGTCCAACTTTTAACTGTTTTAGTCACATTTTCTGAGTCACACTTCTGTGTATATACTTTCTCCAGTATGTATGAACCGAAACTAGGCTCATTTCCCATGTGCCTAAACCAATATTTTATATTTTTATTCACCAATGTTTCAGAATCAATATATTGTATGAAGAGACATTACGTTATATCTGCAATATGAACATGTATATGAATCAACACGCCTGTGTATATACTTTCTCCAGTATGTATGAACAAATATCATGTACATGTACTCCATTGTTTATGAACACACATTTTGTATCAACAAATAATACTGTACGCCCGGTATTATTCGCGAGCTTTAATTTCGCGAATTTTGCGAAAACACGGTTTCGCGGCTATTAAATTTCGTGAATACTGTATTTTATCGTATTCGGGGATTCCACAGTATATGATGTCCAATCAATTTGCAGGCTACAATCACGTGAACAATCGTGCGCACGTGCTCTTTCATTGCCGCGCATGCGCATAGTAAAGTCATGGAGTTGCACAGTACTATTGAAGTACTATAACTCGATCCAAACTAGTAGACAAAAAAAATGCATCAGAGCCCCGGGTAAAAACAAATTCCCGGGGATTTAATTGGCAATTTCGCGACGATAATTTTTCGCGATTTTAACACTCTCGCGAAAAGCGCGAAAGTTAATCGCACGCGAATAATACCGGGCGTACAGTATATACTTTCTCCAGTGTGTATGAACGCAGATGTTTTACATTCTCTAGTTTGTATGAACAAATATTTTGTTTATTCATCAATGTGCATGCATGAACCAACACATTTCAATTTGTATATGGAACCCAATGGTTAATTATAAGTACCGTATTTCCAAGTAGTATTTTTTTAGAAATGTGTCTGTTTGTGTAATTTAGTCAATAAACGAACTATAATTGTCTGTAATAATAGAAAAATTCATAGTGATTTATTGGGCGTTTTGGTAAAGCCTTTGGTTTGTAATGGGAAGATTGTCTTTATCACTAGAACTGTTCTGCATGGGGTCTTTTGCATAGTGATAAGTTATATACTAGTATATTTACTACATAGATTTGCAGTGTCTAGGTTTTATTCAAGGAACTGGCTCCACTGAGTGTGTATTCAAATGTTGAGCCTTTAAAATGTAGACTCCTATACTACCTTATGAATGAAAATAAACTCTTCCAAAAGTGATAGGACCTTAGTGCACCCATGCCATCGCAAGGACCTTAGGTTGGCATTCCAAAATGTAAAATCTCTATTAACATTATAAAATGTTTTTCGGTCTCCATTATAAGCCTATACTCCTTCATCTGGACTTCATGCTATTAACATTATACAATGTTTTTCAGTCTCCAGTATATACAAGAACCCCTACAATGTATTTGGACTTCACCTTACAAAAAGGTTCAACATTGAGTCAGGCTATCCCTGAAGGTTGGACTGCATTTATATATGTGCTCAGGGGGAAAGCCTTATTTGGTAAGTAAAGCCTAGAATGGTGTAACATAAGGTAAAAGCACAAAGGACAGTATTTGAATAATAATACAAAATGATCCTTGTACATTATATTGATGACATGGTTATTATGTCACCACCAAGAAGTGCTGACATATTGTTATGGTCTCTGTTTTTGTCGTGGTGGTTGGTGGGTGGTGGTTGGCATTTGTAACAAATTCTTAAAACTTCAATAACTTAACAAACAAATACTGTTCAGACCGACTTCAATTTTTTTCCAAATCATCTAAAAGTTTTCAGAAGTTTAAATCTGATTTAACATTTATGATTTGACATTCAATGACCTTTTCAGGGTCAAAAAAGGTTAAAAAATGTCCAAAAATGTGTTTTTTCAACTTGCTTCAAATTGACCAAATTTATTTTTCAAAATCATCTACAAGTTATCAGAAGTTCAAATCTGACTATACATTTGACCTTAAATGACATTCTCAAGATCAAATCAGATTTGACCTTCAATGACATCCTCAAGGTCAAAAGGGTCTTTTTTCAACTTGCTTAAAATTGACCAATTCTTTATTTCAAAATCATCTTCAAGTTCTCAGAAATTCAAATCTGACTTAAGATTGTACTAATAATATTGTGATCAGCTCGGTGGTGACATTTTGTAATGTTAATGTCTTGTTTCTACAATGTTGACAGACAGTGGTACTACAAGTACCTGAACTTGTTAAACAGCTGTTTTATCGAAAACTTGTCTTAATTTTAATTGCACTGTGTGTGAAATGCCATGAAATAATACTATTCAGGCTTTTACTTTGATGTTCAGGTCCATCTAGTTCTGCCACCGAAGGGAATGCCCATCATACTCTTGTTCTTGGGGATGCAGGCAGTTCTATTAATGTTGAAAATCAGGTAATTTATATGAGTGGATGATTTATTTATGTAGGCCTTTTGTATAATATGAAGAGAGCCAGAGCTTAAGTGTGTAATCATTGAAACATGTATTTGTTAAAGAACTAACTATAATTGTCTTGTTGCATGAGGTTTGACCAAGTAAATTATTTACATTTTCTTATTATCTTATAATTTCAGGGACTTGAACCTTGCCATTTTGTGCTTGTTGCTGGAAAACCAATAGGTGAACCTATTGTACAACATGGTAACTTTAATTATTATTATAAAATAGGTGGATTGACTGTAAAAACCAATGTTCCTACCAGCATAAGAGCATCTATCCTACATGAAAACTAACAGTACATATATATAATTCCACATAATCAGCTTTATCAATTCCAAAAATGAGATATTACATTTGATTACAGATTTTCATTAAAATCAATGTAACATATGCAGATTTTAGTGGCTATGGCCCCCAGAGGGAGTATAAGGTGCCACTTAGTACAAAATGATGATACATTAATGAAAATAGAACAGCTTCAGTTAAGATACACTGTAATGCCCCAACTTTATAATTTCAGTTTAATTAACGGTAGCTAAATAACAACTATTTATGTGTTTATTTGTTCAAATTCTAGGCCCCTTCGTGATGAATACTCAACAAGAGATACAGGAAACCATAAATGACTATAGGTATGGGAAAAATGGCTTTGAAAATGCCCCATCATGGAGGTCAGAGGCTGGAAACTAAAACAAAAAACAGGAAGTCAAAACAAATGTTGGCATGAATCGAGGTTTTTTCCCATTCACCTTGTATGAAGAAAATGAATTTCTAAGATGTACAAAATGCTAGATTAACCTAAAGTGGTGAACATAAATAATGACTAATACTATGAAAAGACATTCTGTCACATAATGTCATAAATTCTTATCTCAGTAAATTGAGTGCTCTATTTTCTCCGTCCCGGGACATAGAAATATAGTGGATATAGTGTCCATAATGACAAAATTGGAACTAATTGGAAAATAGACCACTAAGTGTTATAATTACAATACAAGGGGCAGTCTAGATATTCTAATGAACTCATGAAGTCTTGATAATGTTATACTCATTTTCGATCTACATGTAGTCTCCTTCATTTTTGGAGTTATAGTTTCATTACTATTTCATTATTAAAGGTTTCGAATCTCTCTCTGAGTTGGATTACAATTTTGGATTTTTGGGGTTAGTTTTTCTTATGGCTCTTATGACTGGTGTTCTCTTAGATGTTTTCTTGATGTGTTCTGTCAAACCACTTTTAGTACTTTCCTATTGGCACCTGCGCATACATATTTCCTTATAATGAAAATGTATTTTTATATCTTATGCAGAATCAATGTATATTTTATGGGAGAAAATGAAATGTTAGGTATACAGTACATGTACCATAGATGTCTTGGTTTATTCAGGCTGCTCTGTTATTTAAAAAATCTGTATATTTATAAAACAACAATGTCATATAATGTTTGGATGTGACATACAGCAATATATATATTCCAAAAATTCCTTTTTTTATGTCACCACCAAAAAGTGGTGACATATTGTTATGGTCTCCATTTTTATGACGGCGATCGATGGATGGTGGTTGGTAGTTGGCGGTTGGCGATCAGCCTCTGTAACAATTTCTTACAACTTCCAATAACATGACAAATACTGTTAAGACTAACTTCAATTTTTTCAGAATCATCTACAAGTTTTCAGAAGTTCAAATCTGACTTCCGAATTAAGATTTGACCTTCGATGACCATTCAAGGTAAAAGAAAGTTCAAAAAAGGTATTTTTCAACTTCCTTCAAATTGACCAATATTTTTTTCAAAAACATCTACAAGTTTTCAGAAGTTCAAATCTGACTCTAGAATTAAGATTTGACCTACGATGATTTTTCAATGTAAAAAACGGTAGAAAAGGTCTTTTTTCAAATTGACCAATTTTTATACAAAATCATCTACGGGTTCTCAAAAGTTAAAATCTGAATATAGATTTGACCTTCAAGACATTTTCAAGGTAAAAAAAGATTTGACCTTCAATGACCTTTTCAAGGTCAAAAAGCTCTTTTTTCAACTTGCTTCAAATTGACCAATTTTTTTTCAAAATCATCTTCAAGTTCTCAGAAGTTCAAATCTGACTTTAGATTTGAGATTTCACCTTCAATGACCTTCTCAGGGTCAAAAAACTTGTTTCAAATTGACCATTTTTTCAAAATCATCTACAGAGTTCTCAGAAATTCAAATCTGACTTAAATTTGAATTTATAATATTGTGAGCAACTAGGTGGTGACATTTTGTCATGTTGAAATTAGATAATAAAAAGTATAGGTTGGCGATAAGTAGATTTCGAATGATCTATACTACCTTTTATTTTTGGTTTTTGTATATCTCGTTTATATTTTTGTACTTTTGCTTCAGTTAGTATTTGTAGTTTAGATATTTAGTTTTTCATAGTTATGACTAATGTAATCATGTTATGATACAAGATGTCAATAAAAATTACAATGCCCTGTAACACAATTATTGTATTATGTACTCAAAGTGTTGTTTTGTATAATAGTTTTTAAAGGCCTCAATTTTTTTAATTAAAGGCAGCATGGAAGTTCTATTTTTGCTATGTCCAAATAAAGCCACATGTAAATTAGAATTTTCCTTTGTATTGATAAAAGGCCCACAATGTGTTATGAGGTATTTTATTGAATAATATTCAATTTATATGTATAGTTAATATTCTAGAATAACTGAGTAAACAGAACCCAAGCATTCTTGTTGAATTTATAGGATAATATATATTCCTTTGAAATATAACTTCATCATTTTGAACTTTATTTATTTGTAATTAATGGTCCATGGGACATACTTGTATGACTAATGGGCCATGATAACATGTATTTTATATATTTATGTTTTATATTGTTATATATAAGTCATATTTAAACTTTTTGTATTTCAGTAAATTATCTCTGTCAAATAATTGAATATTCAAAGAAATTAAAAAATAAATATTATCTTTATTAAAATCATTGTCTACTATTATAGTATTAATTTAGCACAAGAAGCAATAACCAGAAAATTACAAATGCTTAAAAGCATTTTGAATATATACCGTAATAACTACACTACACCCAGACACTAAATATTGTATGAAATGGCTGGGACCTTGCGGTAAGAGAATGAGACATTTCGTTAATCTAAGTTGAAACTTGAAATGGACTTCTTGGAGCTCATGACTCATAGGCCCGGAATCATGTATAAAAAAGATCGAATATTCCACTCTATCTTTTTTATACATGTTCCCCGACATGTTCCCGGTGTGAAAGAAATGATGGTCCCCTAGGGATTATGGTCCTCTTTCTTAACGGCCCTTACTGGCCCTGATTGCGTATAAGATAATGAGGTGAAGAGTTGTATTTAGGTCACCATATAATTAATGGAGAGTAGAACCATAATTTGATAGGACCTCCTACCCTTGCTTTTACACCGGTTCTATGTCATGACTAGCTCCCAGTCGGGTTTGAGGAAAATGCATTTGGCGTTGGGCTCGGAGCTGGTCTCAGCTCGGAGGAACTACAAAAAGTGCTGCTTTTCAAAAACGCTTAGATTGCACCAAAAAAACATCTTCAACATAAAAATTTCCCGGGGAGCCACGAGACGGGCACGCAATCACTTGCCGCACTACCTATATTTTCCAGAAAAACACATCGTTTTCAAATATAGTCTGCCACCCTTGCATCAGAGACATATAAAGCAAAACCTGCATTGGTTATATTTATAAACGTAAACGTTAATTCCATTGAAAATGTATAATTCTTCTTAAAAGCACGGTGTCCAACCCAAACGCTCTTACATGCACGATCGACGGAGCGTTTCATTACTAAAGCTAAACAAAGAAACTCCGGAGTAGAAAAAATGGCGGGCGGGAATGATGGGCCGTCTGACGATTTCCCAAATAATGGTAATAAGAGGTATGTGCTACTTATTTCCAGTATACCATTTGATGGGTGTGATATTCATGTTGAACTTGGCTGGTTGTTGACGTTTGAAGCAACCTGGAAGTGCTATACGAAGCAGTAAAGTTATCAAAATTCATAAACGAATTTGTCAGTCTACTGGTCAAAACCACTTTTGTCGAGACATGTAATTAGTTGTGTAAAGATTAGGGCATCAGAGTATATTTTGGTCAATTTACAAAGCTTCCACGCACCATAAACATTATCGTAATTATGATTTGATGACCGAAAATCCAGTCTTAAAAATGATAACAATCTCATATTAAAGAAACACTGCGACCTGGTTAATACAGTAAACTGGAAACGCTGCGGTACTAGTCTAGATTTACTCACTTCGAGAGCCATGTTAGATTTTGAAACTTATGGCTCTCAAACGGAGAAGTGAACAGCTGATCAATAGTGACCTTTGAAATTGAATTAAGTCGATCCGCGGCTTACTTTTGGTCTCTAACTGTGTCTTACATCAGTATCATCAATCCGTGTAAGTATTGGAGCGCTAGAGTACTTCTTTTTCGATCAAGACTTGTAAATTGTTCATCGAGTTAAAGTTTTACAGACCTATTTCCAATATGGCGGTTTGCTAGGTGCGAGATACGCAACTAACGAAATGAATTTTGAGAATCAGTTAGGTTCGGACAACCTCCGGAGATTTACGAAAATGTCCGAGCAGAAACCGCCATATTGGAATTTGGCAGTAAAACGATTAACTCGACTAACAATTACAAGTCTTGATCGAAAAAGAAGTACTCCAGCGCTCCAATACTTACAAGGATTGATGATACTGATGTAAGACACAGTTAGAGACCAAAAGTAAGCCGCGGATCGACTTAATTCGATTTCAAAGGTCACGATCATTGAGCTGTCCAAATGCTCCGTGGGAAAGCTATTATATCAAAATCCAAATAGCTTTCGCAGGAAGTAAGTCTAGATATGTTTAGGCATTTAGAAATTAGCTTGACTTTCCTTTTCAGGAAGAGAAAGAAAAGATCTATAATATCCCTTGGCATCATAAGAAGAAAGATTAATTCACACATATAAACGTTTTGTTTCTTTGTCAATAGTTTTAGCACACATGTAGGCATAGCATCTGATGTATGCTTCATTCGGCTTCTCGCATGTGTAGCACCACCAGGTTGAGGGAAGTTTCAGTTTTCCTAACTAGTACAACACGTTTTTTAGAGAAAGATTCGATTACGAACTCTTCTCTAATGATCTGAAAATAACATCAAAACAAAATGGTAAGAGCGTTTCTAAAATTGTGTCCAAAATCGACGGGGCGTTTCAAGGAAAACAAGTGATTTTTCGAGAACAAGTAATGGATTTGGACTGGGATTTTAGCAAATGAGAATACACGAGTTTGTGATCTACTACTTTGACAGAAAGATTGACGTTTTCATTTAAATACTAATTTAATTCGTAATTTGTGGTCAATTCGTCAACTTCAGATTCGTTCCATCTACACTACGAAGCTTTGATCAAGCAAATAACAGTTTACCACCAGAAGTTGAATAAATAAGATCTTCGCTCGGGGTGTTCATCGAATGGTACATAATATGTCACCATAACGTATGATATGTAGGAGAAACGAGTGAAACAATACTTACGGTCATAGTGGGATCTTCAAAAGCCGCCATTTTATTTCGCTCCGCAGCGTTTCCACGTGAATGAAACACTCCGTCGTATATGTAAGAGCGTTTGGGTTGGACACCGTGATACAGTAAAGCGGAAAAGTAACCGTGTAGACCAGGCGATACGCATTCAAATGTATTTTGCATTTCAAACTTAATTTCTGTGACTTGGAATTGAAAAACGACAACCATTGCGGACTTTCTTGAAACCACAGATTTTTCAATCGGCATTAGTTAATTCATCACAATATTTCATTGGAAATGGATGCCCAGGGTGCCTAGAAAAGTATAACTGAGTCGGGAATAACTCTTTTCTCCTTCATCGAAAGAACTAAATACGGAA